ATATGTCTGATTAGTATGGATATATATTGCTCACCATTCATAGAGGGTTTCTATACAGGAAAACATTTATGCCTTGACTTTAAAGTTCTGAAAAAGCTGACAAATTCTATTATAAAGTGTTTCTTATTTAGCAATCAGAAAAAAGAGGTGCCTTCTGATAAGATTCTGAATTAATCTCTTCTGAACTAAGCCCTGCAGTCATTTGTGTCATGGATGAAATAAGCCATTATCAAATAGGGGGAATAACTCTGTTCTGTCAATTACCTTGACGGACCTTTTTATTTTACGTGTTTTTATTTTTATTATCTGGCAAAGATATGAAAGTTATTTCAAATCCAATCTTGTTTAGGGGTTTATGACAACTTCAAAGGCTACTTTCCTGGTCAACATCTAAACCCTGACAAACAAAGTCTTCCCCAATACAACACTTTCAATAAGCTATTATTTCTGTATTATTGCCCTAGAGATATTATTCTTCTTCAGAAAATCATTCTTTTCCTCCAAATTACAGTACTTTCTTCACACTACTTGTCTGCTGTTATGTAACTGTCACAAAGAGAATGTACCCAGGTATGAATTATGTTTGCTTAATACAGGAAACCATCTCCAAATTTATTCATGGTCACAACAATGCTCTGACCCTCCAGCTATTATATTCGAAAATTCACATGTCCATTTTAATGAGCAATTTAATATCTTGCGATATGATGGGGCACCCAGCTGAGAAACTCTGTACCTGTGTCTCGGGTTATTATGGCCTCGGACAATGGATTATATTTTTCTTCGAATGACCATTAAAGCTCGGCCACCCCACAAACCGTCATTAAATCCAGTTTACTTCATCATTGGAGGTCAAGAAGATTAAGGCCCAGTCACACTGGTCAAGGATGGGCCCCCATTCATCCAAAATATATATAAATCATTTGATGTCCCAAGTCAAATTTTGGGCCACAAATAATTATATGACACCCACCTGTATAGAGTTTTAAAATAGGCATCACTCGATTGTTAATGCGATTTTAAAAAAATCTAATTCACCACAAACAAAACCATTTAACCACAAACCAATCCCAGAAATTTTTATTTTGATTGCACACAAAAAAAATCTCTTTGATCCCATGACATTCAAAATGTACTCACATAAATTGTCTATAAAGCAACTGTAGACTGTAAAAATCAAGAGTATAGTTTAAACTGAGTTACATGTATTATTTTACAATAATACACTTTATTAACATATTGCAAAATTATTTAATTAAAAAAAAATATCAGAAATGAGAATTCATTTACACAACACTGATTAATGCATGGGGACAAAAGTTTATAGAGAAAAAAAAAACCTGCTCTGAATAATTGGCTATTTACTCTTCATCAAGCCAATTTGAGTACTTTTTAGTTGTAAAATCAATAGGTTATGAATATATGCTCAAATATTAAAGTCGCTATTTCCTCCAAAAGATCATTAATTTTTCTTAATGAATGCTATATTTGTTTGTGTCATGATTATAAATTATGATCAGACATGCAACAGAGTTATTATATCTGATTATTTCTTGGCTATTTCTTTTCAAATATTGCTAAAGGACCTGTGAATGAAAAGAAAACAGTGACAGCTTCCGACCCACCCTCGGAAATTAAATGAATTTCATAACTTGTTGTCTTGATACTAAGGAAGTTAATCATAATAAATGAGTCAAAATAAAATCTCAGCCAAACTGATAAAATCCAGATACTGACTCAATACAAATTGCATGTGTGTGCATGTGCATGCTTGCTTCAAGCACTAAACAATACTCCTATTAATTTACTTTTTTTGCGAAAAATTTAACCGAGCTACGACAATAAGACTTATTTCTTAATATCATTTTTTTACCCCATAAAATATGTGCTTCAGTGAATAAAAACCCTCCACACTTACATTTTTTCTCCCTCTCTCGTAACCTTTTTTCAATATAGTGCAGTGATCTTGTGTAAATTCCCCAATAACTAGATGGCTTGTCAAAGACCTAGTTCTGAAGGAATCCCACCTGATACATAATACCATTTTAAATATTTCATCATTATAACTTATGTATTAAGACCAGCTAAGGTGATTCCAAGTTGTATAAATCCCCTCATTTGTAACCATTATAAGCACCCAGAAAACCAGTCTCTATAGGATTTTTAATGTGTCGCCTTCCGCTCCACTGTTTTAATACTGATTCAAAGATGTAAACTCGTCTTTCTCATAAAGTCTTATCATAACCTTAACCGGTTGATTGTTGATAAATTTCAGGACATATGTGTACTTTGCATCCCACCATTCCGGGGCGATGATGTTATGTGTTTGCCACATATCATATTAAACACATCCCTGCCCAAAATAACTGGAAATTTCTCACAAATAAGTCATTTGACCCCTGATTAAATATTTCTGTCATCCAATTCTAAGATATTTATCTTTCTTGAGAAGTGTCAAAGAAATTCACAGACAAAGGAAATTTAATTGCTTTTAAAAGGGAGATAACTGATAGGAAGGAAACTTTTAAACAATTTTCTTATATTTTCTCATATAACAAGGAAAAATGTGTCTGATCTTAAAAAAATAAATAAATAAATAAAAGTACACCATATTCTTAATAAAGAAAAATAATTATCAAGATACCTCAGATACTTTAAATTTTTTTAAGCTTTTCTAATTTAAAAAAAAAACTCTCACTTTTTTAAAATACAATTTTTTAAAGTTTTAGAAAAACAAAAACATTCCATCATTAATCACAGCAAACAGCCCAGCTAAAATTGAAGAAATCAGAGATATCCCCCCTATTTATTTTCTTTCTGGCAGTCATAACATTTATTTGTTCAGTCTAGTTGTATCTTAAGCCTTCAGCATTCTTCCTTAAAATTGTTGCTGCTAAACGCCTGTCAAAGTTTTCACAAGTTTGACTTTAGGAAGCAGCTGGGTTGAAGGGAGGAGATGCCTGTTATGTCATAGATATTGTCTTATTGTCTCCTATCCATCTTGCTTGCATTTCATTTCACAAATCAATGCCTGCAAAAACTTAGACCATAACTGAATGCATAATAGATTGTGAAGGCAAAATTCATCACACACACTCACACCAAAATTTCAAACAAAAATTAATATTATTCACATTTTGTACATCAAACTTTTTTTTAGGTTAAAATTCAAAAAGATTGTTATTAAACAGTCTTAAAAATTAAATCATTATCTTTCTTGTACACAATTGTAATCGAAATTCTTTGATCACAAAAAATTGTGCTGATACTGTTTTTTAGGGGGTTGTAAAAATTAACTTGGGAGATCAGATAATGCTTTGACAGGAATTTGACACAATAGAATGGGTAGACAAACAAATTATATGATGTGTCTCAAATAATTAGTGACAAGAGTTTAAAAGAGAAAGTATGGTGTCCAATCCACCCTGAGGCAGGGCCAAATAACTTGGGTGTCCAGAGCAGATAAGCCAGAAAATAACAAGTGTATAGAGCAATTTACAACCAATATAATTACACTAACATAATTATATACTTTCACAAACATAGTTTTTTCTTCGAGGCATTTTCTCACATATTTTCATAAATGAATAAAACCAAGGGAATGAGGAAATCTTCAGATAAAACAAAATTTTGACACAAGTGTGAGATACATGGCCAAAGTGACAATATAGCCCCACAAGGGACAGGGAAAGAAAATATCACAACTTTATATTTTAATTTGATATTTATCCATATAGCAACCAAGTTTGTGAGGTTTCCAGACAAATTCGACAATCGGCAGTCTGTCCTTTAATCCATAAGCTTACAACGTCTTATCAATTTACGTTTTCTCAACTATCTCAAAATTTTCAATAGAAAAGATAGTCATTGATACCAAGCCTGGATTTTAACGTATGATTTATTATAATCTTTTGTTTGATTTGTAAATGTCAGTAAGACTTTCTACCCTGTGTTCGACATGCTTTACTCGTATTCAAGTACCCTTGTAATATTGGCAAAATTCTTCAAAATTGATATTATATTTTAAAATTATCCCTGTTTATCAGTTTCAAGCACGTATACAGAATTTGGGAATTCTTTCTACAGCAAATAAATGATAAGGAATAGACAACGATTTCATCAAACCTAAGGACTCTTAAGGGATCAAGTCTAATCTACTATTAATTTTTCCAATAAATACATTGAAACAGCTTTTAACAAATTATTGATTGCTTGTTCAAACTTCAAAGCAGGTGCAGGCAGTAGAAAAATTGCTATTAAATTCATGATATCAAAGAATATCAATTTCAATATTTATGACAATTTAACAAGGTTCTCAGTCTTTCAATAAAGATAAAAAAAATATAATTTCAAAAATTTGAATTAAAATTTAATCAATAATAAATACGACAATTTTTTAAAGATTCGTCTACTCAGAACGTTTATTTTTCCATTCCTTTAATGTTAAAATCCAGGAACTTTAAATAGCATCCTTTTAATGATATTAAATGTATATACAAGAATACAGTTTAATTTCTTTAAAAAAATTAAAAAGCAAGCTATGCGGATTATTGAGAAGTAACAAAATATTTCTCTCAAAAAAAAATATTTAATCCAGATTAATGGAATAAGAAAATTATTAGAAGCTTAATATTAATTATATTAATTAGATTAATACACCAAAATGTGCACATGTAAAATTTCTTACCTACTTGAAATATACGTCAATGGATTTTCGCGGATTTTGGGGGCTGGAAAAACAACATTGTTTTTGAAGGTACAGTAAATACACCCAGACTCTATCCAATACACTACAGAGATCTGTTAAATGTCCAAATGATGCTACTGCTTCTTAAAGAGAAAATGTCCCACCGGACTATTCAACGTGAAAAGGTAAACAAAACGCACATGGCCGAACGGAATAGATACTCATTCACTCAGCAGAAATATATCGTGCGAATACTGGTGTACACCTGTGACTGCAATTTTAAAAGTCCGGGAACAATAAAGACTTCACTTACCATTCTGTAAAATACTTGCTAATTCGTCTTCCGCCTCTATATGCCTCGGTTTAGGTTGCTTTCGACGCGACATGGTGTATCTCACATACAAAATGAAATAACTTTTTCACTGTTGCAATTTCTGAATATCTTAACGCGCATGTCAGAAATATGATTATTGTTATGCGCTCAGATTATTATAATCAAATCGCGAGGCTCAAATCTGATTGGTTTTCATCGGTTGTGATCCTGTATGCCAATTATCTGGCGAGGCTATCGCAATGACGCGTTAGTGAAAGATGGCTTACACAGCGGTGTGAATTTAAATGTAAGGAGGTTCTAGGCAAACAGACCGATTGGCTTTTATATTTAATAATTTTATCTTCACCGGCTATAGGTATTTTTATTAAAATAGGCGTGTTATGCATACATAATTAGCTTCAATTTCTCCTCTGACGTTTACTCTAATCGACAGGTAATAAAAACAGTGTAGGCTTGGACAAGAAAAGGAACAGAATCTATTTTCTTTGTTGATTTAATTATCTGTTGTAACAAAAAACATTCCAAGAAGCTTTGTTGCTTTAATATTTACTTTAAACATTACAGCATTTTACATGATAGGAGAATATCTGTCATTTTTTTTTAATCTTAAGCAATAACATTTTATATAATATTACTCATGAATTCGAGAAAAATAAATATAGTCCGATAATCAAAGAAGAAAATGTCTACATTAGACGGTAGTGTAAACAAAATTATTTTAGCTATTGTGCAATCAAATTCATAGATGCTTGGATGATTTCATTACAATATAAGAAAACTCAAAGAAAAAAACAGAAATATTCTCTTTATTTTGTAATAAAATTGTAATAAATTCCCGTTATATTTCTTATTATTTATCCGTTCAGATTAGTACACATGTTCTCCATTTATCATTTTTACAAAATAAACAGTAATTAGAGGAAGTCATATCTCGCTTTGTCACCATTTATTTCTCCCTACAGTTCAAAAGCCTTTCGTGCAATGGCGATTTAACATAAACTTGTTTATGAATTGATCAATGCATTTTACTTTTATACAATGTGATTATATTGAGCATCAATATCAAAATGGATTTGATAGGTGTGTTTTGAAGGACTTTTATGACTAGGTCAAAATTAGTAAATGTCCACTGATAACCATACACTTTATGATTTAATCTGTTTATCACACGTTGTAATCATTCATTTTCACCATATTTTTATGAGGATGGGGAGAAAAAAATTGAGAGATTACACCCATTGGTAAAAGAAATGTTCACCAAACTCTAAAAGTCAGTATAAAACTCAAAAAAAAAAAAAAAATACAGAAATATTTATTCCTTTTGACATTTTTTTTAAATTATAATAATATTTTTTTTTTTCAATTTATTGAGAGGGAGAGTATACAGACACACAATAAAGCTTAAAGTTAAAAAAAAAATCTTGATTATTATTTTCCTCTCTTATTGTTTTCACGTTCCAAACCTGCCTTTGCATGTTACGTTGTATCGTTTCAACGCAAAGATATCTTAAAATATTGACTCAAAAGAATTCAATACGGAGCTATCGATTTATTGGAAATAATTTAAACAAATATTTACACAGCGTTCAATGGACGGCTTTTTGTGATTAGCTTAGCGAGCAAATTGGATTTATTCGGTTACAAAGAATTGAAGTTAATTACGTAATGATTACCAAATGCCTTTTAGTGTTTCATTTAAAAGCATGTATACAGTGATGTTTTTTTAATTTCGACGTCCATTTCCCTAAGGTTATTTTTTACATTTAAAAACTCTTATTATAAGGGACATAACGAATTCCAGTAATTTACTGGCACTAGAGTTATGGATTCTTTTTACCAAAAAAGTTTTTTTTTTTTTTAAATATTTGAATATACAATATCTGAGGTACTGATATTCATTTTCAGGCTTACATTTATGCCATTTCCGAAAAAAAAAATACACAAGCATTAATTACATTTTACAATTTATTTATTTATTTTTGGTAACTTTATTCACTCATGTTTATTTACTTTCAGGATAACAACTTCATAAAAACAAATCCCGTATGCTCTATGAATGTCAAATTTGATATTATTTGTACTAATAACAATTAAATTGAATACTGGTGGGTTGGTGTTACAAGATTTATGATATTTAAATTTTTAAAAAAAAAATTGCTTTTAATTTCATATAAATGTAGTTAAAAATGCTATGTAAATGCAATACCTATGCGCCATCAAAAATGGACAATAGGAAGTAATGATTTTAAAATTTTGGATAATGTAAAATATTTAATAATGCTCACATTTAGCGCTAAAACCCAAACAAAGTAATGAATGTTTCTGATTTTTTTTTTAAATTATAAAGATATTTGAAGCTATAGAGTTTCTCCATTTAAAAATTCTAGACCTGATAGTTAGGGCGATTAGATCAGCGCTTTCTTTCGCAGTTCAGAGATGTAATTCAAGATTGATAAAAACTAATTTACATAATTAGAACCGCCTCTCTCACTCTTCCCGCCGTGCCAGCCTACATTATTATGAGTATTAATATCAGAAAATATATTTATCACCTACCTTCGGATCGATAGGAATGCTGGCGTTTCTGTACGGACAATCTCTCTCAGACTCCGACAGCAGGAAAGGAGGACACTCTGAATGTCGAATTATTTAAAATGTATCTTTTTTTAATCTCGTCTACATTCATTTCGGGAGATGAGTCCATGTGTTTCTCTGTGAGACGAAGCATTCAGTTTTACACAACCTTTTATAATATCCATTCGCATGCATTACATGTATTTTATCTTTGAATAGCAAAATGTCATGGCGTTCACAGCAAGCAAGCACGTCCCTGATTTTGTTTTTAGTACAAATAGAGTAAAAACTTGTCCAGCAATATCGGCGAATCTACTGATATTGGAGATGCACGTGTAATGAATTTTTTCTCATTGATTTCTTTGTTTCATTCTGTCTGATATTGAAACTATGCGAGTCTTTAATGATTCCTGGCTTTGACTTCTCGAGGAGGGGGTCGTGAATGCTAATCATGATTTCGGAAATGTATTTCTTGACATTAAAATAATAATAATAATAATAATAATAATAATAAAACATATATCTTCATATCTTGATTTGAGAATGTCCTTTTTAGGAGAGCAAATCATATAAAACGTTCTGAAAGTTCATATCTGAATTTTATTATCAAACGATAATAACTTAGTAAAATGCAATAGCTAAGTAATTTTTAAAATATCTAGACTTATCAATCTGCCTTAATGCGAATCATGACAATTCTAGAGCCTGTTGTCTTTACTGAAGATCATGCATGGATATATACAGAAACACTTACTCAGGAAATGTTGGGGGACAAAGAGACGATGTATTTCACATGCATATACTGCACTTCACAATGGATAAATTACAGGAAGCGGCCATTTAACCAAGGTATAAATTCTCCCTCACATTGTAGTTAAATTTGCTACAGCGATTCAAACAATGTTATTCATGTAGCTTTTTAAAATTTTGTCCTTCTCTGACTTATTTCAAGGGAGAAAATCTTAAACAGTACTTTTGACAAAAGAAATTCTGACCCAGCCACCCAGATAATACCCAGATTAATAAAAAAAAGGACAAGATTATTCAATAATAAACTTCTTTCTTATAAAACAGTTGTAACATTGCAGAAAATAACCCGCGTTAGCCGGTTATGTTGTTTTTTCTGCAATGATCACAACCGTCATACCCAAGATAGCGCAACAAAGAAACACAAACGCATTTTTTGTTCATATTTACATCTTTCGTATAATCATTCATATGAAGTGGGTGAAAGTGGTTAAAATATAAGGCATTATATCGTTAGATCGTGCTTACATTGGAACCCCAAAACAATTACCTTTTATAAGGCCATTTGCTACAAACATAATTTTTTTCTTTCAAAAATCATGAACTTGAATACTAAATGAATGTTTGTGGAAGTAAACTGAATAAGTTAAGCCATATATAAAGCTCAATTTTTTCTCAAGATTTTCCAGCTTGATTTGAACATATTTTTTTTGAATGACTCAAAAGGATTGGAAAAAAAAAGTTCTTACAACTTACTGGTTCCCCTCCTTATATATAATAATATGTCATGCAAATTTCAAATAATACATAAAAATATAAAATTTTCAAGTGATATATTAAGTGAAAATCCTGTTCAATAACACAACGATTTAAAATCTACAGCAATTTCCTATAAAGTGGTTAAACTTTAAAAATTGTATAGTGTTATAAGGGGAACAGCAAAAACGGAGAAGTTTGAACAACATAGAAAATCTACAATGTCTTGATATTTTAGGAATTTGATATTTGCATCATCTACAAACAAAATTAGTCAAAAAATATCCAGGTATCCGATTAGTGTCCTAACTTTTCTTACAGAAATGACTCACAGGACCTAAGAGTAGAGTGTAAATAAATTGTTGTTATTACTCTGGATAAAAGAAATATGGTTTTCGTAAGGTACATCGTAATAATTTAAATTTCCTTGTAAAGCGTCATTTGATTGGATAAAAAAAAATGGTTTATATCGTATAACCTGTGTTGCCTACGTCACAATGAATTACGTCAAAAACGTATCAATCCGCCTGACGTTACTTTCAAAACATGTACATTTTGAAGGCATTTTTGAAGGAAAATTGTCTTATTTGATATACCTAATGATGGGAAATTAAATTATAAGGAACAAATTTAATAGTTACCCAAGTTATATAGTGGTATAACCTGGGTTGGAACAGTTTACGCTTTTTTATAAACCGCTTCGCGGTTTATAAGGCGTAAACTGCACCAACCCAGGTTATACAGTATAATTTGGGTAATTATTAAATCCATTCCTTAATTATTCTTAAAATTGAAATTCAAAAGCCGCAAAAAGACAATATACATATTCCCGAAGATAATTGAAATTGAGACGCGTGGTAGTGTAGCCAGGAGACAAGGCCAATTTCAGACCTTGAGGTATTAGATTAGCCTTTACAGTGTATTAACGAACTAAACAGGTTAAATTCTCACCAAGCAACCTACCATAGATCACAAAACTAGTCCCTGATGACTTTTTTGAAAGCAGAAAGGAAGACAAAAAGAGTTGAAATTAGCCGGTCATATCACATAATATATGTCATACAGCGCTTTGAGGGTCGAACAATTTTGT